AGCCCTCACCATTTTCTAATTCGTGGTTCTGGTCAAAGTCATCCTGGTTAAAGTCATCCTCATTTCCAAATTTGTGGTTCCGGTCATGGTTAAAGCCCTCACCATTTTCTAATTCGTGGTTCTGGTCAAAGTCATCCTCATTTTCGAATTCGTGGTTCCGGTCGTGGTTCTGGTCAAAGTCATCCTGATTTAAGTCATCCTCATTTTCGAATTCGTGGTTCAAGGCGTGGTTTTGGTTAAAGTCACCTTGGTTATAGTCCTCTTCATCTTCGAATTCGTGGTTCCGGTCAAAGTCATCCTGGTTAAAGTCATCCTCATTTTCAAATTCGCGGTTCCTGTCATTAAAGTCTCCCTCATTTTCAAATTCGTGGTTCCGGCCATGGTTAAAGTCATCCTCATTTTCAAATTCATGGTTCCGGTCGTGGTTCTGGTTAAAGTTATCCTGGTTAAAGTCATCCTGGTTAAAGTCATCCTGGTTAAAGTCATCCTGGTTAAAATCATCATGGTTAAAATCATCATGGTTAAAATCATCATGGTTAAAGTCATCATGGTTAAAGTCATCCTGGTTAAAATCATCATGGTTAAAATCATCATGGTTAAAGTCATCCTGGTTAAAGTCATCCTCATTTCCTAATTCGTGGTTCCGGTCGTTAAAGTCATCCTCATTTTCAAATTCATGGTTCCGGTCGTGGTTTTGGTTAAAGTCATCCTGGTTAAAGTCATCATGGTTAAAGTCATCCCCATTTTCTAATTCGTGGTTCCGGTCGTTAAAGTCTCCCTCATTTTCAAATTTGTGGTTCCGGTCGTTAAAGTCTTCCTCATTTTCAAATTCATGATTCCGGTCGTGGTTCTGGTTAAAGTCATCATGGTTAAAGTCATCATGGTTAAAGTCATCATGGTTAAAGCCATCCTGGTTAAAGTCATCATGGTTAAAGTCATCATGGTTAAAGCCATCCTGGTTAAAGTCATCATGGTTAAAGTCATCATGGTTAAAGTCATCATGGTTAAAGTCATCATGGTTAAAGTCATCATGGTTAAAGCCATCATGGTTAAAGTCATCATGGTTAAAGTCATCATGGTTAAAGTCATCATGGTTAAAGCCATCATGGTTAAAGTCATCCTGGTTAAAGCCATCCTGGTTAAAGTCATCATGGTTAAAATCATCATGATTAAAGTCATCATGGTTAAAGTCATCATGGTTAAAACCATCATGGTTAAAACCATCATGGTTAAAATCATCATGGTTAAAATCATCATGGTTAAAATCATCATGGTTAAAATCATCCCCATTTTCAAATTCATGGTTCCGGTCGTGGTTATGGTTAAAGTCATTCCGGTTAAAGTCATCCTGGTTAAAGTCATCCTCATTTTCGAATTCGTGGTTTCGGTCGTGGTTCTGGTTAAAATCATCTTGGTCAAAGTCCTCATTTTCTAATTCGTGGTTCTGGTTAAAGCCTTCCCCATTTTCAAATTCGTGGTTCTGGTTAAAGCCTCCCTCATTTTCGAATTTGTGGTTCAAGCCGTGGTTCTGGTTAAATTCTCCCTCATTTTCAAATTCATGGTGGTTTCGGTCATGGTTCTGGTTAAATTTATCCTCATTTTCGAATCCGTGTTTCCAACCATGGTTATGACTAAAGTCATCCCCATTTTCAAATTTGTGTTTGTGGTTAAATTTATTTTCAAAATCGTCAAGATCATGGTTAAATCCATCTTCACTTTCGACTTCGTGTTGGTGGTCAGTATCATCATGTTCCCAGTCGTTATTATAGTTTAATCCACCTTCACTTTTAAATTTGTGATTGTGGTTAAACCCATTTTCAAAATTGGGTTCCCCATCGTGATTACCATTAAATTCTCTCCCACTTTCAAAATTATGTTTATTATCATTAAATTCGTTAAACCCATTTCCATTTCCAGATTTGAATTCCCAATAGTTTTTGTTAGATCCACCTTTAAACTTGTTTAGATTATTGTGCCCATAATGTTCATTGCTATAGCTATGACCATGTCCGTTTTCAATCCCATTATCGAATTCTTTATCCCTATCGTATCCATCACTATGCATGTTGTTAGAATTGTACATTTCATTGTGTTCTGATTCAAAGTCATTGCTGTATTGGTTATGCTCACTCCTAATTCTGGATCTATGAATGAGATTGAAATTGGAGTTTGGAAGGATTGGAATTGAGGCAGCGGTAAATGAGGTTAAAATATAAGATAAAGCAGTCTCAAAAATCTAAAATATAAGGTTCAAAAAAAAAAAAAAAAAAAAAAAAAGTCAATTTAGAATAGCGAAGAATATAGCTAAAAGCAAAGGACAGATTGAATATTTACCACGACTTTGGCTGGATTAAATAATCTCATGATTTTGAAAGTAACAAAGCACTAATTTCTTTGAAGTAAAGATTACAAGATTATAAAATATCTTGGTTTTTGTGTACAATTGTCTAAGATGGCTTCTATAGATTTTTCTACCTCATAGAGAAGAAACTGCCTTGAAAAAAAAAAAGCACCTTTATACACCATTTCGTCAAATTCTAAGACTGTCTATTTATAAACAATTACGACAATATATTTTTTTGAGTAGAAGAAAGACGAATTATGCCAAGAATTACATATACAATTGTTGTTTTTTTCAAGATTTGTGTGACGACTATGTAGACAGTAGCAGGGTAGCAAGGATAGCTAATCTATTAATTTAATAATTAAAATTCATTAGTTGCCCTTACAACTATCCTGCCGCTATATACATAGTTGTCATAAATCATCATAAAAACGCCAAGCCCAAAAGAGTGACAATTGTATGCATAATTTTCGTTGGAAAATTTTTTCTACTATGATATATTTTTGCTCTTCCTAAAAAGTTTCAAGTAATTATTCAAAGGCTTTAAAAGGTTTTTATATATGCATTAATGCATTCTCATGAATTATAGTATGTCTTCTTTAATTTCATTTTCTAAATATAATCATGTAATTAATACCGCATATATATGTATATGCTGACACGCTTATTACAGTATTAATGATAGTTGAGCTTAATTTTTATGAATTTTAATCCAATTACGGTAAAAGACTTAAGATCTATATTTAAAGTCCAAAAAAATAATGGGTGACAATGATCCACATTTATATTTAGAATACATAACATGTATATATTCATCCATTTTTTTAGAAACTTTTCCTGCTTTGCTAAAGCGCAGGGCGCGAACAAATACTAAAGTTTCAGAAACAAGGATTATTAAATCAAACAAGAACTAATACTGTCTCGATTCGCGAAATTGCTTATTGTAAATTAGTGCCTGAAATTTAAATTTTGTTATTCAAATATTGAGTACGAATATTGTTAAGGATTATCTGACAAGGAGAAAATAATTTAAATATATTAACCAGACATAAAGTAAATTTTATATAGTGCTCGGCAAAAACTCGATCATCGAGTTTTTGAATCTATCGATTTATAGTATTGTGCTTCAATTATAAAATCCATGTTTACTCTAATCTGACTTTAAACTTCATGTTAGTTACCACGAAGTCTAAAGTAAGATTGGATTCCTGTTAGATTTATATATAAACTATAAATAAATATTTGTATTTAATGCACAATATTGTAAATTGATAGATTCAAAAACTCGATAATCGAGTTTTTGTTCGATTTTGCTGAGCACTAATTTTATATAATAATGTTTTGTCTAGAAATTTTTATCATTAAATGAGTTTATTATAAATTTATAAATTATTGAGTATAAGCTTTTGGCAACATGTTATTAACATATTTTATTGAGTCCAGTTCGTATTAGCATCGTATTTTTGGTCTAAGCTAACTTCTATAGAATATTCGTAAGTTATCTATGCTAACATGACTATAAATTAATTAAATATATATCTAGATAAGATTTGGATAATATTCTAAAAGAAATTTTACAATCGCATAATCGTGTTGCCGACCCAAGAAATTGCAGAGTGCAATAATAAATTCATGTTTACGTGTCAATCAAGGAAACTCCATCCAACTACGCCTTCTAAACAATGGCGACTTCAATGATGAAAATATTCAATAGGATCGAATTTCGTTCATGAATACACCCATTTTCTTTTAAAATTTTTTACAATTTTGTTAAATAATATATTTCAAAATAGAGCGCATCAAGATTCATAGAAATCCATTTAATGTTTATATCATTGCTGCAATTAACTTTCATTCACTTATATCTATTTTTAGCAACGATAATAATGATTGTAAGCTTATTTTAAACCAAATATAGAATATATATTACAATATTCACTCTAAAAATCGGAGTTAATGAGTAATTGGTGCAGATAGTTTCTATGTCTTGATCATTTTTTTGGTTGTTCGCAGAATCAATGATATGTAACACTTGAATGGTTTGTTAGCTAAATAGCTAAAGAAATTATTTATACGTAGCAACCTTTTAGGCAAAAGATGTTACACCACTAATTAATGAGTTTACCAAGGCGACCCCTGGATTGATGATCACGTTACTGCCGCAGCATATAGTCAGATAAATTATACTTTTAAACAACCTAATCAAAAATCAATTCCTATATACTTTGTTCGTTCGTAACAAAATAAAATATATGCTGCAACAGTGACGTCGATCGTCAATCGAACTTCGGAGGCATGATAAACTCTAATTAAATCTTTTATCGTACAAATGTAGCCTATGTCTAATTAAGGCACAGAAGCATGAATGTTATAAAAAATGTGATAGATAATCATGTGATAAGATATCCTTACAACTTTATAAAGCGATATCGAATAATTTTTGTCCGGTCTAAAGCCAGGTAGTAATTTATATGTGTCACTTGATTTTAAATTTACAAATTTATTAGTAATCAATTTAAAAACTACCTGGCTTTAGACGACCTCCGTATTTATCCGCCACGTAGGCCCGTTCTTTGCAACCTGCAAAAATTTTGAAAGACTGATTTTTGATTTATACCCGGGTACTTAAGTACGGTAATATCATATTTAAGTATCTAGGTATATAATAATGGTATCCCTTTCCACACAAGTATTCCGGGTACTAAACGAATAAGGGAAATACGTATCCCGTTTACTCGTGGCGGATAAATGCGGTAATGATTACTTGTAAAGAGCGAATGACCAATTCGGTTAAAGAAAGTTGGCTACTAAATTTTTATAATTATTAGAACATATCAATATAAAGGCAAAGTAATTTGCATTACAGGTGGTCCTACCAACTAATTTGAATTAGACAATTATGTTGATATAAAGTAACAGGAGGTATAATGGCGCAGGGGGGTAATTTGGCGCACCGAAACTAACTCAAGAAAACAGGATTTTTTTACTAAGCAAACCTAACTTCATCCACTAAATAAAGTTATTGAAAATACCGTTTTCTAGATATGTTCAAATTTTGATGCGATTTGGCTAATTTTTTATTAATCGCTTTTCACGTTATACATTCTGGAGCAGAAAGTTTGCTTTTGTACCAAATGTATAATGTGGAAATCGATTAATGAAAAATTAGCCAAATCACATAAAAATTTGAAAGTATATAGAAAATGGCAT